TGATTGTGAGTCATGGGAGGAATACAGTTGGGTAACTAAAATTAGTTAGTTGTGAAGCACAAAATCCAGATAAAGATATAAGTAGGATACAGAATACCTTGGTAGGTTACAGTCACAGATAAAGTAGTCTGAGTCTTGAGCTGGAAATTAGTTTAATAAGTAAATTGTATGTGAAAAATGTATAAAAACTTAAAGAATTAATAAAAGACAAGAGGCATGACCTCGCCTTAAGTATAAAAAAAAAATAAAATAAAATAAAAGTGCACTTATAGAGGTTTTATTATATCGATATATAATTTATATAAATTATATACTATATCATGAGCCTATAATGTTAATCAAGCAGGATTTAACTAAAGATAGTGTTCATTTTCGATATAATATAGTATAACATGTTGTAAATATTAATATTTATTTCAAAGTTCTGTAATAATTTGAGCTTGATTATACTTGTCTTTGTTTAAATCTGATTTCTTAAGTATATAATTGGTTTTTAACTTTTTTTTTTATCATTATTGATATTCTAAATAAAAAATATTTATTAATATTAATATATATAATAAAATTAAAGATATAAAATATATAATAAATAGGATTAAATTGGTCCTAATAAAATTAGTTAAGAACCAGTCTTTTTAACTAGTTATAGTTTTCGATCTTCAGTCTTTTAATAGTTCAAACCTGCTAATAACAAACTATTAAGTATGTACATAGTTAATAATAATAAAAAAAATTATAAGTAAACTTTTAAATAGTTTAAAAAACATTGTATAAATTTTATTTTGATAAAAATTGATAATTACTTATATAAGAATAGCTTATTTTTAAAACCAGAGACCAGACTAAACTAAACTATAGATACTATTGGGACTGGTTTTACTAGAGACCAAGATGAACTAGAAGGACCAATCCAATTCTAATAATGAATAAAAGATTATACTTCTGATTTTCTTTTGTAAAATTGATCCAGATTTTTTAAGACAATATAAATACACATCGTTTTGGTCAAATTATTAGGTTCTTTATATTCACTAATAAAATTTAAAAAATCCTCATGATTATTTATGCATATAGCTTGTCCTTGACCATTAATCTTATAAGTTATTTCATAATTATCATCATAAATAAATTGATCTAAACATTTTCGCATATGATTATTTAAACTCGATTGAAATAGATGAAAATTGTTAATTTTTTCTTCTTTAAAAATCAACCAATTTCCTGCTGAAGAATTAGTTTTTTTAGTATTAATAAAAACTTTCACTTTTAATTTGGTCAAATGGGCTACTGTTACTTTTATTGTTTTTGGTTGAGTTACTTCTATTTTACTATCTTGGTCAGTTATAACTTGGTCAGTTATATCTTGATCACTTATATCTTAACAAATTGTATCTTGATCGATTGTATCATAGCAAATTTCATCTTGGTTGATTATATCTTGGTCGGTTGTATCTTGGCTTAGCTAATCATATTGTCTTAGCTTGTTTCTTCTCTTTTACTTAAGCTATTTCTTAAACTACTTTTTTGATTTTTAATTCGATCATATCTTGAATTATATGTTGAACAAAAGGTTATATCAAAGTTTTTATTGAAATTACTATTATATCTAAAAAACTTGCTTTATTCTTTTAACCAAATAACTTGAAATGAATGAGTTTTAAAAGTTTTATAACATCGATTATGAATTTGTTAGCCTTGTTTAAATCGAAAAGTGTTATGATGAGATGGTTTTATTTTTAAATCATATAAACAAGATTTATTCTTTAAATTTTTAAAGCAAAAAAGGCATTTTTGGTAACTATAACAAGTGCTGATTTTATAATTATGTTCTGACAAAGACATGCTATAATAAAAACTTTTAATAAATTCTAGTTTTATATATTTACTTCATGTAAACATTGTTTACTATAAACTGCTAACAATTACAAACACTATTTTGAAAATTCACTTAACCTCTTTTAGGATTCATGTATATATCATTAGTAAAGAGAGTCTGTAAAAAGAGAATTTGTTAGTTAAAAGAAATAATCACTAATTGTTGAATGAGTTTCACAAAATGTGATGAATAAAAGGTAGTTATGATAACCTATAATATGATCATAAAATTCATGGATTCACAGGCAAAATAACTAAACTGAAAAGAGTGATAAAATTTCTGAGGTTTTTTAATAACCACTAAGCCAAATTCAGTAGACTTTTTTTTATTTTATTTTTTACGAATGTATAGAATCAAAATAAAAAAAAATTGCTAAATTTAATCGAATAGTTATTAAGATATTTTCACTAGAAGTTTAAAAAATTTAGAATTTTCTGGTATTCGTAAGTATTTATGATATATCACTAATAAAAGGAGTCTATAAAAAAGAAATCTATTAATAAATAAAAAATAATCACTAATTGTTAAATGAGTTTCACAGAATATGCCGAATAAAAGGTAGTTATTTATAACATAATTGTGGGACTCATAGGACTCATAGGACTCATAAAAAATAATCTGCAAAATTGGTATATCCAACTAAATCAAAAAGAGTAATAATATTAAGATTAGGATTAGAGTTTGGGAAGAGTTTTTGGTAGCATAGAACATTTTTATTTAGAACATCTCACAACAATTAATTAGCCAGTTTTTAAGATAATATATACATAAATATAAAATACCATAGATGCATTTTAGTAAAATTCCAAAAAATATTATAAAATTTTTTAATACTTTTAATATTATAACTATAAGATTTAGCTAATTTTAAATATATATATTAAGTTTGTTATAACTTTATTTTTAATATATATTATATAATTTTTTTTTTTTTTTTTTTTAAATATTAAGGTGACCACTTTGGAGTCTGGCATATTTTATTAAACTTTGATTCAAATATCAGAGCAACCTACATGGGCTACCTCTAACTTTGTTACATTAATGAGAGTACAACTAGCCATATATACTATTTTTGGTTGTCTATTTAAGCAGTCTTGCATATATAACCCATATGAACTATACTAGCTACCATACCTATAATTCAGCTAAGGGGATTATCTATTTAAACTCTCTGATTAACTTAGTACTGTTGGATATTCTCTTCAAAGAGGAACTGCCGGGAAGGTCTCTTAGGACTTTAAAGTGAATACACACTACCATATAGAGGTGTCTTTTATCTTCATAGTAAATTTGCTAGAGCCTTCTGTATCTATGAATCTGGCTAATCTAGACTTTTAGTAACTTACGCCGAGTCTGAGAACAAGTACTTGCAAGCCAAAGCTGCTACAGTTACCTACTACCGCCCTTATAGAGTTCACCCAAACCCCAGCACCCACTATATAGACTATTATTCATACACCTGTTATCTCAAACTTCTAATCTAGATAGTTTGGAAGGGCTGTAACCTGCCTTTGGTTTCCATGGTTGGGTCCTTTTCTTCTGGTTACTCTCTAGCAGCCAGGTTGGTAAAGTGCCTTGCCAAACACTTCAATTCTGTTCAGTTTTCCAGTTTCCTGGTTGATAATCCTTTATGTAGTACTGTCAAAGATCTGTGCTACCTCTCTACTTGAGTCTTGCCAAGTGAGCTCCTATGTGCACTAACTCTGGATTTACACAGCCGCTTCACTTGGGTTTCATATAACTCGTATATTATACTATTGTTTTATGGCCTCTCAGTACAGGCTGGTATGACCAGATTACAGATGTCAATACTCACAGTCTGCTATAATACTTCTGAAATTCGAATTTTTCACCATCGGTAAAATTTGAACTCTGATCGCTGCTATTTGGGGATGCGACAACTTTATCACTACACTAAGTTGCCACATCCTTATTATATAAAATATTTTTATTGTATATTAATTAAATAATTAATATACAATAAAAATATAATAAAAATATTATTAATTTTAAAATATAATTATTATATTACTATTATATATTAATAATATACTAAAAATATAATTATTATATTTATATTAACCTTATTATAAACATATTTTTAAAAAATTAAAGATCTCTCACTGGTCTCTTCTAGGCCATCTGGATTGGAAGTTTGGGGTACCGTTAGTTGACATTGAAGTATTGTTAATAGTCTGTAAAGTGAGTACTGGGGTTTGGGTAAACTTTATAAAGGCACAGAGTAGATAACAATAGCAGAGATAAAAAGCTGCAAGTACTTGGCCGTGGCCTAGACGTAAGTTACCGAAAACCTAGATAATATATATGTGAGACATAAACTATTCTAGTAGGTTTATCATGAGAATAAAGTAGTTCTAAGGGGCCTTAGCAGCAGTGCCTTTTTGGGGAGAATATCCAATAGTGCTAAATTGATCAGAAGGTTTAATTGGATAACTCAAGTAATAGTGGATTATAGGTATAGCATCTAGGGTAGTTCATATAAGTTACATATGAAAGACTGCTTAAATAGACAACCCAAAGTTGTATATATGGCTAGAATATATCCTTGTTAATATAACAAAGTCAGGGGTAGCCTATGTGGTTGCTCTAGTATTCGATCCAAAGTTTAATAAAATGTGCTAGACCCCAAAGTGATCACCTTAATATTAAAAAAAAAAAAATTAAAGATCTTGCAAAGTAGTCTATAGTAAAGAATTGGCTTTACTAAAAGTAGAAATATTTTTTACACAGTTAATTAGAGTTATTACAAAAGGTTAGAATATAGAGATAAACTGAATTTTCTTGTATACATAAAGATACTAAATTAGACAATAGTCATATCTATATAGGAGGTAGTTAAAGCCAGATGTGTTTATATATTTTTTAAAAGTCAAAGTTTATAAATAAAATTGCTTTTTTGATATTTTTAATATTCAATTTTTATTTTATTTTTTTTTGTTTTTGTCTTATTGAGTTGATTTGAATTAATTAAAATTTATTATTTGTCACAGATAATGCTAAAAATTACATAATCACATAATAATTTTCTGCATAAACATCTAGCATTACTATCACTATTGTGTTAGAGTTAAAGTTAGGAATAAAAAGTTTTTTTAATTTTATATATATTATATTTAATTCTACTAAGATAATTAATTAATCTTAACATTAACAATAAAATTTTTTAGTTGGTGATGCTAGAGTTCTATAAGCACCTTTAGGTTTGTTTATATGAAAAATTATTATATAATCATGATTATCTGTTTTTAGCATCATTTATGACATTATTTAATTGGCTATTAGTTATATAAACACATCTAATTTTAGATAATCTTTTTATATAGAAGTCTATAGATAAAAAAAATCTAGAAATATATTAACAATAATATTTACTCTAATTTGAAATAATAAAAATACAGATTTTTAATATTTATTTTTCCAGCAACTCTTCCTAATGATCAATTGTACCAACCTAATACCAAAAGCAAGTTGAAGATTCAAGCCTAGAAGTTGACAACAACTTGAAGTTTTCTTGATACGAACTGTTGTCAATAAAGTTTTTAAATAAAATACACCAAGGAGTGGGTATTTTGAACAGTTTGCAAAGAGGTCAAGCCTTGTTCTCTATACTTCTTGGGTGGACTTCTCTTTGTATTTAGCATTCAAACTAAAAGAGTCTCTGGGAACAGCAAATAAAAAAGAAAACTAAAGTTTGTTTGAAGATAGAAAACTTTGAAGAACTCTTAGAACAACACTCCTTGGTTGAAAAACTTACAAAAACTCAATATTTCCCAGCTGTCTTTTGGCTTCAAAATTTTCAACAAAAAGTGAGAAATTCGGCTTACCCTCCAAAAGATCAGTATTGTTTATCACTTCCATATTGAGAAACTAGATGATGACAAATCGGCACATATTATAAAATGAATGAAATGATAACAACAAGTCACGTGGAGTTTTTAAAGTCCTTTAACTTTCGAATAAAGATATAGATTTAATTAGGAAAAGTCAAGCAAAGTGTTTTAAAATATATAACGTGTTCCTTGTATATAATTTTTAGCTTCTAGTACAAGTTATAGTGCATTTTGTTTTAGCATTATGTTTTCATTTTTGTCAAAACTCTCGCACTTAATAGTAGATCGTTACTCTGTATAATTAGAAGTTTTTGTCTAGTCAGCAGATTTTTTTCTTTTTAGTGATAGTTTCTTTTAGATTTTTAGTTTAGTTTTTATATTTCTTAGTATTAGTATTCATTTTCTTTGATATATTTGTTTTTA